GGTTGAGTGTGTTCAGGTAAGTCAAAGTGCTGTAAGAATCTCCTTTCTGATTTCTTACCATTTGGTTAAAGGACTTTTCCCTTTTTGGCAGATCATTTTCAAGACATTTTCTACTCTCTTCCTTCAGCAGTAAAGAAACTCCTCTGACCAGAGTCCGGGCTGTAACATGATGTTTGCAGCCTGGAGTTCCTCTGGGATTAGCCTGCATTTTCTTAGGGGAGAGGAGACAAAAAAAAGAAAAGAAGAGGCAGGGAAGAGGGGGAGAGGAACAGAACATTCTGTCAAATAAACATTTGCTAATGCTCTTGAGCAAGAGGAATGGAACAGGTAGTAAGCGGTAACCCAGATTAACAATCTGCTAGGGCAAACACACAGCACACAAAGACTCCCCGTACACTGGACGGCATCTCTGCATTGAGGCCAATATGCTGACATATTAATTGATCTCTCCAAGAGCAGCCATAACCTTTGGATACAAAATTGGAGGTCAGGCCTCCAAGTAATCTAATTTATCTCCTGCCTGGTAGAATAAAACCAGACTTGCTGTTAGTCTAACTTCTCTACTTTCTTTTTTCTCCCATGAGAAGTGATTTCTGCAAGTATGCAGTCACTTTCTCAGTAATATTATCAGCTCTTCAGGTGTAGGACTAGCAGAGCTTGCCAAGAATCCATAGGTTTGATTCTATTATGAAAGTTTAGTGCAACTTCTAGGTCAGCTTTAGGTCTGAAGACCAAACATGTAGGAATCAGAAAATGAGTACTTGGTTCCTGTCTGCCGAGGCTGAGCCACACAGAGGTCTGACCACAGCCCTGAATACCTAAAGCAGCAGGGAGTATTTTTCCTTCTAGGTCTGGACAGATGAAAATGACACTGGAGCCTGAATCTAGCTCTGGGGTCCACAACTGAAGATAGTGTTGAAAGCCTTGGGGTGAAGAATAGCAGAAATTATTTACAAGATGGAAAACATTTTGCAATAATCTAATTAAAGAATAATAGCTGTTGCATTCCTGAATGTAACACAGAGCAAAGGCTTCTAAAGCAGCTGGTCCAACCAAAGGCTGCAAACTAAAGTCAAACAAATTCAAATTACAGGTAAAATACATGTTTTTCATGGTCAGAAGAGATCAACAATTGCAATAAGGTACCAAAGGAAGCAGTAGGCATGCATGGTCCTGTGGAACACATGCGTCAGTCAAATGGAGATAACTGAAGGAAGAGAGAATATGGGTGGAAGGTGGTTTTGCTATATGAGAGCTCAGACTAATAGTCCTTCACAGCTGTAAGGGAGAGTTTTGCACTAACCCACCTCTTTCCAAAGACAGTAGAGAGAGTTAAATCACATCCACTCCACACTAAGACAATCTACCATCTCTTGCAAAGTCAAAAAACCCCTCCTTCTTAAGTCAGAGAGAAGGACATGATAACCTCAAATCAATTCATTCAAACAGATCATATTCTCCTGCCACCCAATTTAGCCCATGAACCTCAGACAGGCCCTGCCTTTTACTTCCCATGGATAATAGTAACAACAAAGCCTGGACATCCAGATCACTGATACAGGATCACATAGTCTTATTATAATGTTGATCCCAGGAACTTCATGCATACTATGCATTCTTCCCAACAAAACTGATGACCAGGGCTAATCTTTCCCCTAGATTTAAGGAATACTGGACCACAGTGAGTCTGGACATCCACTCAGAATTACCTTCCCTTGAAAATGTCAACAGGGCAGAAAGATGTACACTCCTTTAAGACCTTCACACTGCCAATAAAAAGTAAGGAAACAGCCTATTTTAACCTGCAGTGTCAACGTTCATGACCTTTTGCAATGTCCCTTTGATTTAAGATCACACCTTTCCACCAAGCCAAAAGAGATACTCCCTCTCTCTCTCCACTCCTCTGTTCTAATACGGTTTGGGATTATGTGATCAGACCAATACACACAACTCCTGCATGGGAGCAAAGCAAATATAGCCAATAGCAGCATTTTTTTATCCTTTACACCCTGGTCTAACTTCACTGTGTAAGTTTGTTCCCATGATCATGCTGCATCCTTTTCAGCCTCCATTCTAGGGTTTCAGGTTTCCCTGTATTGCAACAGCATTTCTAATGCCCTGTCCTCTACCTGTTCAATAACAACAGCATTGCTGTAGACAGGTGTGTTTTTTATCATCACTGATCCTGCAGCCAAAACAACAATTTGTGTAGTAGTAGATCTGTGCAGGAAGAGGGAGCTAGAATTCTGATGTGCTTTTATTACATACATCATTCCCAGAATCGCCATCGGACCACTGGCATAGACAGAAGTCACATCTCCAGGATGCTCTCAGAAAATACATGCCGCAACAAATGGTCTTCAGCCAGATCATTGTCGTGTTTGTTGTTCTTCACCAAAATGGAATCTGCGTCCCTTTGCAATTCTGTCTAAACCCACCAGCACTTGAGACACTCCCCAGCTTTGCACACTCCTTCATGGATACTTAGAGGTGAAACGCACCTGACTTGAAACAAAGGGGTTTTCATGTGTTTTTTAGCTCAGCCAGAGCTACAAACTCCTGGCAGGAGACTTCAAGAAATGAGGAATTGGGAAGGGAGTTTTTATTACATGGACTGTCCACATTCACAGTTTATTCTCATAAACCTCAACTGTCCCCTTCTTCTGTGGTCAGTTGACAGGAGCCGTGACCCCCACGTCAACTGAAGCGTACGTCAAAACAGCTGCTAACCTTTGTTTTGCACAGTGTGCATCTATGTAGCAACACACACATTACATAACAGTAAGTCATAAACTAAAAGCAGTCTGATTGCTAAATCCCTCCACTGTGGATGAGATTTTTACTTCCATCACCTGATAATTTAATTGCTCAATTAGCTCCACCTGAATGTCTTGGCTACGGTAGAAGAATGTTCCCTTGCAGGTCACAGTAAATCAGAAGACAGGAGGCAAGCAAGCAATGCAAAGGTAAATGATGCCTCTATAGCAAATCAAATGCATCAGCCAATTGTATTTTTTCTCCTGATCTGCTCCTTGCACTAGTCTTTTAGGGACAGAACAGGAATCAGACACATAAAAGACCATAAAATTCTGGTCAAAAGTCAGTATCATAGGATATAGGATCATAGGATCCACTACACGATTTAGTCCCAAAACTTTCTTAGCTGATTCAAACTCAGCTCAGGTATTTATTTTCGTAATTGTGAAATTCTACAATATGCCTAATTCAGCTAACAGGATAATCTCCTCATTGATAAGGAAACATCTGCTGCACCACTGAACATTATATGATTGCTTTCCTTTTGACAAGAAGTAAGTGGAAAAGATGCCATTAAAGTGGCACTTGCTGATCATCCTGGGGTAGAGGGGGCCTTGTGGATGTGGCACTTCTGCATCAACAGACCACAGCACAGAGGGGTTCAGTCACAATGAACATGGCCTGTAGGTAGGTACAACTTGATGGACTTTATAACTAATTGTTTAGACTTAATGAGAAAGTAATTACTTCTGCTGCAGAAGCCACTTTTGAGTGTACTTCCGGCACCTAGATCACAAGAAACTAGCATATCATCGCATTCAAAGAAATCAAAAGAACATGTGGCTACCAGAGAAATCTGTATTTGTAACCTAACAGACTGCCTACTGTGTAGGAACAGCCTGGCCCTGAATAAATATGAGACACATTTCAGTTCTAAAAGGTTCTTGCCCTGCACTCTGCACCAGGGTGCCTGCCTCTGCCCACTCATAAATTCACCACCACTGATCCAATCCATGACCAGAAAACCTGACTCACTCTCTGCACGTGTACTGGCACTTGCCTTCTTTCCCTCACAGCTTGAAAGTGACTTGAAGCTTTTTCTGGATAGTGCCTTTCCCAAACTCCTATATTTGGATCACAGTGATCCCAAGCTTACACTGAAAGAAAAAAGTACCAAATGGACAGTACCCAGAATCTGGACAAAATAACAGGCATTCACTGTTGAATTCCTGAACAAGATACACATCAAGGGCTGCTAAACAGCTGATCCAACCAAAGGCTTCCAACTCACATTGCTGCCTTGGGGGCTTAAACAATATTAGTAAATACACTTTCTCTGTGTGTCTTTTAAGGCATTATTCCTTCCGAGGCACATCATTACTATATGGCAACCCTGCTGTGAAATATGACCCTAATCTGCACACCACATATCTGTGTATTGTCTGGGTCTAATTTAGTTCCTTTCCTGTCTCTCCCCCATCTGTACAGGAAATACATTTTTATTCATTACGCCAACATGAGCAATGAGCAGAAAAACATGTCAGAATAAATGAGAACTCTTCAGGGTACAGAACCTTAAAGCAAACCAAGAGGTCAAGAGGTGAGCAGGGGGGGCATTATTGCAGCAAACTACACATACCTTAATCGTGCCCTCTTTCATGTGCTGTGTCACACAGGAACTCACAATGAAGCTACAGTCAAGTTCACAGTGCTCTCCCTATGCTGCCCATGTCAAAGCCTGAGTGCCCCTGTACAATTAATAAAATTAATTAAATTGTGTTATTTTATTTATTTATTATTTGTAAGTTAGACAAGGGGCAAAAAAATCTATTAAAAAGAATTTTTAATTGCTTAGGGAGAGTCTGTATCTCTGGAGGCTTTTAAGATCATCTGCTGGGATGCTTGGAAGCAGGCTAGGGTTATTCGATCCTGCCTTGGGCCAAGGAGATGAAGTAGAGGAAATCTGTGACCTTGCAAGGTCTTTCCTAGCTTTGTCTGGAACTATTCAATGCAAATGGCCTGGGAAAGCAGCAAACTAAAAACTGGTAGAGGAGACACTTCTAATCTGTGTACAGCTGTGGAAGCAGAAAAAGACAAGGGAGGTTTGAAAAGCCTACATCTAACAAAGTGACAAAAAAGTTTCCAACTGAAGTCAAAGACAGTGAGTGCTGAAGGAAAAAACATCCTTTGCTGCATGACATCTATTTAAGGTTTTCTCATGAATGCCCTCTTTAAATCCTTACCTATATTAGAATTTTAAACAGTTCCTTCAAAACTCCATTTACGAACTTCCCCATGGTAGCACTCCTTGTGATCATCATGAGCACTCACATTAAGTCATGCTCCTTTCCTAAATTCCTTCCTGAAGCCACCTATAAAACAGAGGTGAAACAGAATCTGGTCAATGATTACTGACCCCCTTTTGCTTTTATTTAGGATACAGTGTCTCCTGAATTCTTGGTCATTAGAAATCATCAGCCCGTTGATTCTGCAAGTACTCACCCTGCTAGAAAATCCTGTTTCTGCCTCATGCCATGCAAAGTCTGACTGGATGCTACTTTGACCTGAAAAACAAGAAACCAAGTAGGTTTGCAGCCAAACCTTGGGCTGCCAGCTCTACTTGTGGCAGGAAAAGGTGTATCTCTGGCAATCAGAAATTCTATTTAAAATACAACTTTTCTTGGTTGAATCCTATAAATCAGGGCAGTTCAAAAGAGAGGGATTTCATTAGAAAACACTTGGCCCAAATGTGGTATTGACAATCTTGAAAAATCAACATTAATGGAAGCCAGAAAGGAGCTAAAAATAGCAGCAACTATATATGACACATAACCAGCTTGGAAACAGATAACGGAAGTAAGAGGCAGTGAGGAAGGGGAAAAAAACCCAAAACCAAAACCCACCTTCCAGTAAAGACAATCACAAGTGTTTAAAACACATTAGGATACAAGCAAATCTAAAACATCTGTAATAATCAGATTGTCTATTACTGCAGTCATAGAGTAACATCTGCCAACAGTAATACAGAAAAGGTAGATATTTCTCCTAGTTATTTCTGCTCTGGACTGCAAGACAATGTGTATCATATCATAGCTTAAACCCAACAACTCTGATTGATATTTAAATAGCACCCTAGAGCCCTACACGATGGCTGAAGGTCTGACTGTTGACACCAAGTTTCTGCAAGTCATGGAAAAATAAGTAAGCTCCACAGATCAGAGAGAAAGCTGATCTCTAGAAGGATAAACGGGCTCACTACCAGTCAACAGTGGGAGAAGGACCTCCCTTTTTGTGGAAGGAGGGCATTCCAAAAGCAAGCAGGTGCCACGTAGGCACGACCTGGCAGACCACCCATCACACCCTCACCACACTGCTCAGCTGCTCAGGAAGCCTCAGGCATCAACGATTTCCCTGAATACCTTAGTAAGAACTGCACACGGTTCTGCACTGGGTCAAAGATGCTCCACAGAGCACCTGTGTCAAAGGTGGCAGAGTTTTGTTCACGGATGAGCACGGAGCTAGGAGGATGCTGGGCTATAAAAAGGTTCAGTACTAGTGCAGTAGGGTACTGGACAAAATAAGCTCTCAAGTATTTGGAAACAACAGCCAGGAAATAGCTAAAATACCTCTAAGTCTGCCCCATGGAAAACTGTTTACTAAAAAACAGAAGTATTCTTAAGAGTCATAAAGAACTTGAGGGATCTTGCAAGGACAGATGAAGAGACAAAAGCCTGTAATGTATGGCCTTTGATTACAACTTCTCTGATAGTAAACAAAAAGCTGTGACATCAATAGTGACAGAACCTCACGGAGAAGCAATTTTAATTTCAAAACTTTTGGATTAAGGAAACACAATCGTAGCTTAATGTATTTGGGACACAATCAGAAAACCGCATTTGAGATGGTAAATTTGCCTTATTACTCCACCTAACTTAGAGAAAAAATCTGCAGAATATTTCAGTATAAAGATAGAACCATCTGGAAGAACCTGATAATTGGTACTTTACATATGAAAAGTGTTTCTATTCCATTCTTTGAGATTTTATCATGCAAATCATGCAGAAGTGGGTGAACATTCCAAAAGGCTTAACATAACTTTTACCGTGTTTGCTTAGGCAAATATTCTGATACCCATCACCAGTTCAAATTTAATCTTGTCCCTGGGTTAGAAAACAGGTCACAGTACTACCTTGTTTGCCATTTTGTTGCGAAACTTCACTGCCTTTTCATTCCAAGGACACATGAAACAGTTTCCAGGCCATCTGACCTTATTGGTACCACTCTTTCCTCTCAAGTGCTACAGGATTCCTACAGATTTGGCTTTTTTGAAGACCACAAGCAGTGAATACTGTGGTGCTTTAACTGTTCGCAGTACCTAGGAATGATTTCTCCAACCGAGTGTGAAAAAAGTGCTGTTTTAATTTCACCATTACATACAAACCTGAACTGAAGCTTGCTAGGAATAGGAAGTCCACCAGTTCTGGCGTTTGAGATCTAATTGCACCGTAGGTTTTCTTTTGTGTTGCCAGCTCATCAGATTTCAAGCACATCTCCATGTTTATAGAGCAGCTGAGCTGACCCAACACAAATGACTAGGTGAAAAGCCACAGGAAACCGAAGCACTACCAATTACCTGCAACTGAATGCCATTTCTGAGAGAGAAAACTCAAGATGCTGATGAAATGCAGATGATCGCTTTCGGAACGGGCTGGCGAGCCCCAGCGTTCCCCAGGCCGCAGCCGTGCGCCCGCTGCGGGGAGTGGCGCAGGCCAAGGGCGCTGCCGCCCCGGCCCGCCCGGTTCCGCGGGCTCTGACTCACGCTGCGCCCCCGGCTCCGGGCAGCGCCCCAGGGCCTCCCCTGGCAGCTCCGGTACGTGCTGCTCCACAGCACCTCCCTCTGCGCTCGGAGCAGCCCCGTGCCCGGTGCCTCGGGAAACCTCAGGTTCAGCAGTAACAAAGGAGAGTTTGTTAACAAAGAGCGAGGAAGAGGAAGCGTTAGCGAAAACAACTTCTGCTTTGGATCCGCAGGAGTGGAGTGGAGTATATCTGCTGACTAATAGCAGGAACGGACAGCAAGGGAAGGCAGCGGGCATCTCTGTGAGGGAGGAGACATGTTCCTGAGTGATGCTGTGGGCAGTCCAGGAAAAGCTGTCAGCTTCACCAGAAACGCGTTTCCTGTCGGGTATGGACACCCACTGCTTCCACAGCACCAAACGCTCTGTTCCCTCCTGGCTAAAATGCATGTTAAATACGATGAGCCTGCAACACTAAAGAGGAGTTAAACTACAGCTAAAAGCGTTAAACACAAATGGCAAAACTGATGGCGTTTCTGAAGCCCTTAAAAGGAAAACCCAGAATATGTAGGTCCATTTGTAACAAAGGTACCTTCAGTAAATGCCTGATTCCAGGGATCCCCATACATTGCCCACGGAGCAGGAAGCCGTTTCTGTAAGACACCAGACATGTTCACTGGCACCTCAGCCCTCTGCTAACAGAGGAGGAGAGCAGTAGAGGCTCCTAGGAAAAAGGACACACATGGACGGGATGGGACAGAGCAGTTCGAACACTTTTTGATTGAATTTCCTGAAGAAGCTTTTGCATGGTGATGATTCACAGATCTCATCATGTCTTTTGGAGTCAAAGTCATGCAAATTTCCAGGAGCAGTCTCCCAATGCTATCAACAGCCACAAAAGGGTTAATTTTTTCTAATTCTCTTCCATGCACAAGACCAACCAAAGGTACTTCATTTTATGACCAAAATTTCTTGTCAGCTGTGTCGAGTATTCCACAAGTCTCCAAACACTGTATACACTTCACCTCATGCCTCAACTACATGCATCCTCACCACAAAGCAGAGTGATTCATAGTTTGCCCATACAGATCATGGCCTAGACAGCTGCTGATCAGGATGTGGAGGTATCAGCCACATCCTGAAAATGGAAGGAGCCACAAGGTGGGACAGACAGAACGGCACTGACAGACCTGTGAGTCAGAACACAGGGAGAAACGAAAGATGCTGTCGACAGCATGAGGAGCCTGGAGGTAATAGGCAGCCTAATTGCTAGACACGTACAGAATGGTGAATCAAGATAAAACCCCTCCACAGCAGATGCTGTAACATTCTCTCAGCACACATTCCCGAGCAGAGAGTCTCAACTGTGGTGTATCTGTACCACTGTGAACAGCTTCAGGGAGTCTTTTGTGATTATTAGTTATGTTAGAAGAGACTGGACCTTTGTCTGTTAACTTTTTGAGTCAACTCCCTGGGTCACCAGCCAGAAAACCCAACATGAAATGCAGTCTGATGTTTTGTTAATAATATACTCTGTGTTTGTTCATGCTCTTTAATCACATGGTTTTTTGCTCTGTGGAACATCCTGTCTCTCTGGCCTAAACCAGTTCGGAGGTAAAGATGCTTTGGACTGAATCCAGACTACACGTGGATTTTTCTCTCGCTCTGAAAACCCTATGTCAACTTAAACCAAATCACCAGAATCTGTATTACTGTAATTTCCTGAAGAATTAAAGGAAGTGTTCAAGGCCAGGTTGGACAGGGCTTGGAGCAACCTGGTGTAGTACAAGGTATTCCCTTAAGGAAGGGGGTTGGAACTAGATGACCCTAGGTCATCTAGGTCTCTTCCAACCCAAACCATTCTGTGATTGTACGAACCTGCTTGTAAGACATACGAACAGGCATATATGCCCCCTTCCCACCCCTCCCAAAGGAAACACTTTGCCTCTCCAAAGACAGGAAAAAAACTGAAGGGGAAAGGCTAGCAATTGATAAATTTAAGACTACCTGCTCATAAAAAGCTATTCACCTATTGCTACTGCTATGTTTCTTATGTATCAGCAAGTGTGGCAACTATTTTGTTGTATTTTCATGCTAAGGTCATAGCATTAATATTTCATTCTAAAGTGTTTTTTCTGGTTTGTGCATAAGGTATTGTGTTTTGGGGCATGTTAAGCTAATCTCAAACCCTCATATTGTGCTTCTACTTCCAAGTATTAGGAAACCATCAAATATGGCTCTGAATCACTGTTGTTATGAGCAGAACATGTTATAAATAAACATACTGCTAAGACTACAAATTCATGGAAATCTCTCACAAGAATTCCAGGTTCTACCACTGCTGTCTCCTGAACTATACACAACCTTGAGAGAACTCATGATGCTCACTGGGGAAGAGACTATTCCAACAGCAACAAATCCTCTTTCGAGCCCCATGTAGCTAATACATGCTTTCACAAGTTGGATAACAGGTTTTTATTCAGTCACTTTGATTTCTAACACGTTGCTTAAAAGTTTACAGAGCATCTCAATGCTTCTCCCTCTGCCCCATTTGTGTAATACCTAACAGATAGATTACTGAAACTGGGTCAGCACACTTGGGGATGGGAGGTTGAGGGTGGAGATGGGGGACAATAACAAGGACAAACACAAAAACCCAACACAAGAACAAAACCACCTTCAGCTTTCCAGATCCCCAAAATAAGAATAAGCTGTTATTCAAAAGCTATATTAACGTGGAGTTGTGTTTTATACGAGCCAG